GCCTACAAAATGAATTTTATAAACTGTTACAGGTGAAGAGAATACCGTGCAAAAACGGTTGAGAAGTAAAAACTCTAATCTATACCACAAGAGCGCTAAAATCGCAGAAAGAAAATATACATACAAGAACATGAGAGATAATACAAAAGAATCTTACACTCTATTTTCTCTGACCACTCTATTTTTTGATAATAATACAAAATCCTAATAACGATTCCCTATTTATAAGAAAATTGGAGCAAAATCGTTGATCAGCGTACTGACTCCACACAACGACAATAATTAGACTCCATGACTTAACAAAAATTATTCCTATGAGAATCAATCACATCACATGGTCTCCATCATATTTTACAATCAATACTTCATGTATGCAAGATATAAATTATTCGATGGATTTGTATGAGGTTGACTTCAAATTTATCATGCCAAGAATACAGCTTCTATATCCGTAAAATAGAGTTCTTCCAGGCAGTTCTTGTATCAATTTCTGAGAAAAAAATGGATTTATTTCTTAAAAACGCATAATCAAAGAAAGTGTTTGTGCGATAACCAATCCCATTCCATAACTATCATGAGAAACAGTTATCATTTCATAAAACCTTAAGATAGCATACTAGGCTCTCATACCAATCGTTCATTACAAGCCAAAGGATGGAAAGAATACCGTTCATACAAAAATCAACAAAAACGTATCCAACAGTTATGCAACATACATCTGCAGCAAGATATTGAAAGGCACTTGTAGGATACTCGGTTCCGTCGTAAAGAGATACCACTCAATTTGACATCCTCAAAACTCCTGCGACGCTTCATAGTCACCCCAAGACCCAATTTCCATGAAACAAAGAATTTGTCATGTGATTTTGTTTACTCCATACTCCTTAAAAATCGACAAATCCCCGCTAGTCCAATTACTTCGAAGCACACAAAGACATGCTCCCAACACGCCTAAAGTCAGTTCCGGCAATCAGGCTGCTCAATTGTTCCATACAGTTTTGTCTCTATATCAAGGGAAACAATGTCGTCAGGTGTAGAAGTCCAGCCCTTGGAAAGACTCCTGAGCCAATGAAGCTTGCCATTCACAAAAGTACCGGGATCCATTCAAAACACAGAAGTACCCATTGTAAAGTAACGCCACATCCTAAAGTAACCCTCAAGATCACCGATGCTTTTCCAAGAATCCGTCTTGAGACGGTAAGCCATTACAATTGCCTGAAGCGCAATCTCATTTTCAAAGTCGAAACAAATTTCCACTACCTTATGAGCATCACTGGCTTCATCAAAACCAAACCCATATTGAAACAAACGACCAGATTTCATTTCCATCCCCGGAATCACGCAGCAGCTTGGCTTTTCTTATAGTTGGGTTCAATAACAACAAATGTATACCGCCTACTACAATGCAAAGCAGCCCATTACAAGAACCAACAAACCTAACTGTAACTGAGTTCCATGTAACTTTCATTAGATCATCGATGTTAATTGCATCAGAAACTAGGTTAAACAAGAAGGAATGTAAAGAAACGTGATCGAGTTAGTAATCAGACTTGTCATAAATGGTCAACATGATTCTATGGTGGGTGATTCTCCATTTTTTGGTTGAATTTTGGAAATGGGTTCTGATGAAATTTGGGCTGGAGATCAAAGAAAGCCATGATTTTGAAACGCACCTGAAGTTTAACGGGGACGTGACTGGAAGCCTTAAGAGGATTTCTACCAAGATCTCTTGGGACTTCAAATTTGAAGTCAATGCTCAAACTGATTATATCGATGCAACATCCAATTCCAATTGAACGTCCCGAAACCATCAATTTTCCCATGAATATATCCAAAGACAGTTTCAATAAACTCGATAGTAGAAGGGTGTCACTTCCACTACAAAAGATCTGCTTACAATGAATTCACAGTGATACCATTAGCGTCTAGTGATATTAATGCAATCCTTGGTGATTATAACTTAAATGAGACATCCTACTTTAAAGAGAGGATTTGAAATTCACTGTTCATTGCGTGCCCTACCTTTCACACTTTCTCTGGTTTTTTTAAGTGGTTATATAACAGTGCCATACCTTCCATATTTTAAATGGTTATGTACTGTTATGCCCTTAGTTAATGATGACTGAAATCCTGGCTTGCTTCCCTTTTTATTTGACTTCAAATTCAACTTTAATCAAATAGAGGCCCACTTCAATTAATTTATTCACACGTATCAATGGGCATGTTATTTTTTCTTTTCTTTTTAGGTGATTTAGTCTTCACATGTCGGTTACTGTTCATTTGAGTTTTGACAGGTCGGTTACTGTTCATATATATATA